ATCCATCTCCTCAATCTCTGCCTTCGTTCCTGCCGTGGGGCCTGTGGCTTGTGACTTGGGAGATGGACAGCCCAGCATGCAGAGGCATGAATGTAGGCAGTCCTGACGGAGAGGCAGCAGGCTGTGTCTGGAGCTCCAGACCGGTTCTGGAACCAACGCCGTGTACAAGCTGGGTGAGCGAGGACAAGCCAGCTCAGCTCTCCAGGCCTCGTTGTCTTCCCACGCGACAGGAACGTCGGGCCAGTGGTCCCTAATATCCACTGAGCCCCCTGCTCTCTCTGATTCTGAGGTGTTCGGGAATTCCACGGGTCAAGGTTTCAGGCTGGGCTGTGTCCCTAGCAGTTCCACGGCATTTGGTAGGGAGGGACAAGCTGATTTTCCACCCTGGAGAAACCTCTTTACCTGCTGCTCTGGGGCACAACCTGCCCTTCTGATCCAGAATGCAAGGCCATCAGAGAAGGAAAATGCCTGCTGAAGAGCAGCAATGGATAGAGCACGTGCCCTTGGCTTATCACAGCAGTGCAAGTGCTAGGAAGGCATGGGCAGTGGAGTCGTTCTGTCGCTGCAAGAATATTACCTTCCGTTTATTAAGCTGGTCAATTAGGTATCATGCACTCCCTCACATTCTCACAGTGATTCTGCAAAATTGATGTTGTTATTTATTTCCTAGGAGACTGCAGCGCAGAGGGGTTAAGTAAAAGCCCAAGGTTGCACAGCTACTTACATGCTACAAACGCTGACCCACTGACGGATTCACTCCAAGGCCAATTTTCATCCACCATAACGAACAGTGTCTCAACCTCATACCATTAGTGAGGGATTCTTTTGCCTGAGATCAGTCCTTGCCCTTCTGATTCACATCCCATGTCCTGCAACTTCTCCCTTTGACTGGCTTCTCCCTCTTGGCCCACAATCATGGATGCTTCTCCCGTTTTAAAACAAATCAAGACACACAAACCTTTCCCTCATCCCCATGTTTTCCCTCCTTCCTTTCACATACACATCTGATGCCTCCATTTTTCTCTTCATTCACTCCCCCCAAGTTATTGCACATCACTAAAGTCACTCTGGGTAAAATCGCCAATGACGCTTTCATTGTCGGGCTCAGTCATTAGAGCTCAGTCCTTGCAGCAGCTGACACTCATGACCGCCTCCTTCTTACAAAATCATCCTTCTCCCTGTGTCTCCATGCCACCCTTCTCTCTTGGTTACCTCCTATGCAGCTCCTCCTTCTCCATCTCCCCTTCTTCAGCTCATTCTGTAAATTTTTAAATGTAATTATTTTTTAGAAATTTTCATTTATTGATTTGAGAAAGAGGAAGGGGGAAGGAAGGAGGGAGGGAAGGAGAGAGAGAGGTTTGTTGTTCCACTTATTTATACGTTCATTGATTGATTCTTGTATGTGCCCTGACCAGGGATCGAACCAGCAACCTTGGCCTATTTGGACAAATGCTTCAACCAACTGAGCTACCCAGCCTGAGCGATTCTGCCTCCAGTCTCTTCTCCACTGCAGAGTATTCTAGGCTTATCCCCTACATTCATGGCTGCAGCCCCCGCCTGCTCACCGATGGCTCTCTGATTTTTATTTCCAGTCTTGACCTCAAGTTTGAGCTTCAGTGTCAGAGATATAATTTCAAGGCATGGCCCCTGAATGCCCCAGGGGTCTTTAGAGTCAACATGTCTGAAACTGGACTTAGAATTCTATTCTCCCCAACTTGCTTCTCTTCTTATGTCCTCTATCCCAGTTAGTGACATTCAGCCCTGGCACTTGGAATACTCCCCCTAGTAACCCAAGTGGGAAACCTGGATTCCTAGACACCTGCCGTGCCTCATGCCCTCAAAACACCACACACGGTGTCCACATCCAAGGGGTCACTGAGGCCTCCTGGCCCTCAGTACCTCTCCTCTCCCACAGCCACTGATCTCGGGCCCCTCAGCCTCGCCAAGCGCTGTGCTCACGAAACCCTCAGTCTAACACAGCTGGAACGATTTCGTTCATGTGGAAAGCTGGTCTTGTCTTTTCCAGCTTATGACCCTTCAGGGATTCTCCACTGTCTAAGGCCCTCTCCCCATCCACCTCTCCAGCCTCATCTTCTTCTCCACCAACCCTACATTCATCTTAGGGCAAAATCCCTGTCGTTCTCAGTGCCCCTCTTCACTGTCACGTGTCGTTCCACCTGCGTGAACGTCCTTCCTTTTGCTCTTCCGCTGGTGAAGTCTAACTCCTCTTCCAAGATCCCGAAGCCCCCTCAGGAGCCTTCCCTGACCTTCCCAAGCCAAGCTGAGCCTGTCTTGCTCGGCTTCCCTTGTGCCTGCTCACCCGCCACTTGTCACTGCCCCTAAGGCGCTCTGGCTGTGTTTGGGTAGTGGTGGTGCTTCCCCTGGGAGACGAGGGGCTGTGCCGTCTGTGTGTGCACTGTCTGCGCCGCTGAGCACAGGGCCTGGTATACTATGTTAGAGTAGCTGTTGTTAAATAATAAGTAAATGCATGACTTTGGGGAGAGGCGCCCAACCTGAACCCCAGCTGAAATTCAGAATCGCACAACTTGTCAGTCGGAGATAAAGCCTAACCTTGGAGGTGACATCCAACCACTTCCTTTCTTTATCTATCCAGCCCTTGTGCATGGACCACCTTCTTGGGGTCAGGCACTGCTGTACTGGGCACTGAGATTCCAAGATGAAGGAAATGCTACTCCAAGCTCCTAAGGAACCCAGGGGTTAGAAAACCAAAGTGAGAGCATCCTTAGCACCTTATGAACAGGTGCTGTGGCTTCAGGATGAATAGGTGTATGCTTTTGTCTTCTGTTGGGGGTATGGTGTCTGGAGGTTCTGTCCCATCTCTCAGTGTAGATGTTGTGACTGGGGATGAAAGTAATTTAGGATGAGGATAAAGAGGACTTTACCAAGCCTGCATGGACTTAAGGGTGTGCTCAGCAACATCACCAAACTGTGTGTGGGGCTGAGAGTTCATGGCCCTGACTTTACCAGGGACCATGGGAAAAACCATTTAAACCTTGTGCCATAGGTTCCTGTGTATTATCTCCCAGTAGGTATTCATGTTCACATTCAGCATGTGTCTGTACCTATGATGTGCTGTGCTGTTCTGGGCGGTCTGAGGAAACGGGAGGAAGAAGACCCCACATTAAGAAGCTTAAAAATCTTCTAGGGGAGCTGACTCATGCATTCATGTAATCAAAATGCAATAAATCCCTAAAGGGTCATGGGATAGCATCTATAAAATGCTTTGAGTTTCAACTAGAAGCTCAGGTGTTCTGGACCAGTGAGGTGGGTAGGGGGAGCAAGATGTTAAGCAGGGCCAAGGACCCAGGCCAGTTACCTAGGACGGGCCTACTCCCTGACCCCTAAGCCCAGCCAGCCTCAGGCCCCATTCCCGAAAGCCCCATTGTGCATAAAGGAGGAAGCAGTCGGGCACTGGGGAGGGTGCGGAGCAATTCTAATTTTGATGGGTCTTCAGCTACAAAGAGCAGCCTGGTTTCCCAAGCTTGGATGTCTGCTCTCATCTTATTCTGCACCATCTGATAAGAGGACCAATCCCAAATGGTGTCACTTTAAAACGCTCCAAGTTTTGAAATATATATTCGCCCTTTCCAAAGTTAACATGTTTCTCCAGGGTTTTAGAAAAATCAATTCACTGAGTGCAAAACCTGTTCAGATCGGACAGCATACAATACACATTTTTTTAATGCTCATTTTTTGAAAGTATGCTTGGTTTCAGACAAACAAGCCTTTTGTTGACATAGATATTAGGAGAACAGTACTTAAAAACATCAGAAAGTCACACACACATCCCACAGTTTTATAGGGAACACCCTCTGCCTTTTCCATATGCGGTGTGGAAAACGGGGCCAGGTCGATCCTGCAGAAACTTCCTGATGAAAAACAGCGCGGTCAGCCATTCCCAGGCTTGAGCCCTGGCTGGGGTGGAACCGCGGCCAGGGCTCCAGCGCTTCCTTCGCGGCTCCAGAGACGCTGTGTCTCGGGCAGCGCCTGCGTGCGGCCGGCCCGAGGGGCTCAAGGAGTCCACAGCCCTTGGCGCGGGCTGGGTCCCGGGGACACCATAGACCCATCTGGCAGAAAGACCCCAGATTAGCAACCCCAAGAGTCACGTGAGCCAAATCCGGGCTGATCATCCTTCCCGCTTGAGGTCCGCTTCCCCTCCCTTTCCCCTCTTCCTCCCCCGCCCCCTCCCCGCACCTGCGCCGGCGCTGCGCTTCCTCTGCGGGAGGCTGCGCCGATCTGCATATCCCCCCCACCGCCGCCAGCAGCATTTGGAAAAAAGAAAAAAAAAACAGGGGTGCTTCTTTGTTCTTTCACCGGGTTAACTCCGTTAGTGGAATTCAACTCCCACCCTCATCCCGAGTTTGCAAATTTCTCACCACTATATGGAAAATCGGCCGCCTCACTCACGGAGATTTGCTGTGTTCCTGGCCATGTGCTAAACGCTTTACCCGAATGGTCTTAGGTAACCTCAGAGCCACCCACCCCCTGAGGGGTCGTCATTCCGGTATTGCAGATGCAAAGAACCTAGGTACACAGATTCACTTGCCCAGGGCCTTAGATGGCGCGGCTAGGTTTCGAGACCAAGTCGGTTTTGAACTCAGAGCGCTAAATCTTTATTGCTGTTCTTTATTTAGAGAGTAAGAAAAATAGTTTTAAAAAGAATAATAGATAATACTTATTCAGAAGTTACTAGTTGCCAGACACCTTGCCAGTATTTCTCCAAACTACTCCTCTCAGGGCAGGTCTGCTACTCACCAGTTATGTAATCTCGAGTAAATTTCTTGACCTCTTTTTGACTCAATTCCCTCTGCAAAATGAGGCTGCAAATATGGATGTTGTGAAGAGTATATGAATTAATATATGTAAAGCTCTTTGGCACATATTAATCCCTCAAAAATGCCTTATTTTTACCATCACCTCCATTTCACAAGAGAGGAAGAAGCCAGGCGTGGAGAGATTAAGCAAGTAAATTAGTCCAGATGGCCCAGTGCACGCGCTCTGCAGCACGGATCTGCTCAGAAGTCCTGCAGGGTGCGGGCTCGCCCCCAGGTGAGTTGCACCTGGCAGGTGGGAGACGTGCTTCCTGGGCGTTGCAGACCGCGCTGCAGCCTGGAGGCTCGAATGGTCTCATCGGACACACAGAGCTGGGGGCTCGCCTTGCTCCGGATATGGGCGTGGGAGGGTCGGGGCGGTGTCACGGTCTCCCGGGACCCCCCCCCCCCAAAGCAAGGCAGGCGACACCTGTGAGTCCCAGGCAGGAGCCGTCCGGCGCAGAGACCCGCTCCCCCCACCACCGCCCTTCACACACTGCCTGCAATCCCCCACCCCCACCTTTGCGCCGGCATATGCGCGCGCCCGCCACACCCCCCGTCCCCCCCACCGCCCAGCAGCCCGCGCCGCCCGCTACCCCAGCCCGCTCCCGCGCTGTTCCCCCGCCCGCCGCTCTCCAGGGCGGAGTTTCCTCCTCTGCTCATTGTTCGCGGCCCAGCGCCCGCCCAGCTCTGCCCTGCCCGGCCCCGCGGCCGCCAGCGGGAGGGGGCGGGGGCCGGCGCGGACAGGACGGGAGTCTCCGCAGCCGCCCGCCTAGCCGCAGCAGCGCAGACACCGCCCGCGACGCAACCGCCCGCGACTCCGGTACCGCCTGGCTCCGAGCCCCAGCCAGCTCTGCGGCAGCGGCCGCGAGAAGGGGCCACCAGCGCGCGACTCGGGAGCACCGGGTCACCGCCCGGCCGCCGCAGCCACCGCCAGGCCTCCGCGAGCGGCGCCCACGCTCTCGCCGCCCGGGCTCTCGGAGCCTCAGCCAACCTCTCAGCCACCTGCTCTGGGCCCGGGGCCAGGACAAGATGCGCTCCGCACTGGCCCTTTCGGCGCTGCTGCTGCTGCTGCCGCCGCTGCCGTCGCTCTCCCAGAGTGGTGAGTGGTGGCCCGGGCCCCGCTGGGACATCCGTGCCCGTGCGTCCCCGGCAGGGCAGGCCTGTGGTGAAGCCCCGCAGCAGCTCAAGGTCGGACCAGAGCAGCCCCCTCCGCCCACCTACTGCTGGGGCCACGCTCAGAGTCTCATCTTGAGCGGTTCACTCCCCTTCCAAATCTGAGAACCCGCAGGTGCTGGGCCCCGAGGGCGGATTGTACCTGGTCTCCGTTCGGGTGCAGTGGGCAGTGGATTGTACCGGGGCAGACGGAGGAGCGCTGGCGCTCAGTGGTCGTGTGGGCAAAGAAAGCAGAGACTTTGTGCACCCCACGGCTCCAGGCTTTCATGGGACCCTCAGGGTCTGATTACTCCTTTACTCCGAGTTGGGAGGGATGAGGGGCGGTATTATGTGATCGTTGATTCCAGGCAAAACGGCACTCCGGGCGCTCTTGCGAAAGTTCCCGAAGCAGGTGAAGAGCCTCCACCCCTATGTGTTACTTGTTGGCAAAGAGGTTTTTCCAGGCTCAGCCTCCGAGCTCGTGCTGGGGCAGGTGGAGGGGAAATAAGTGGACCGTCCACGGTCCCAGAGTCACCTGAGTGAGGTACCTGCCTCCATTTCACCAAAGGAACCCTTCTTAGCTTATGGCCAGCATACTGAGACCCCCTCTCCAGCCTTTGTATGAACAGGGACTTTCTCACGCAGCTTGGGCTGCACCTTAGAAACACCTCCATTTCCCTTCTCAAGGTGAAATGTTACCCTTTTGGGAGGACAGGCAGTGGCAGCAAACACTATCAGAGCAGGTGTTCCAAAGCCCCTGGAACAGCTGACATCTCAGCCCCAGACAGAGGTGCATATCTTTCTTGCCCAACTGAGCACGAGTCTGCAGTGAGGAAGGGTGATGTTCCCACCCGAGAGTCAGGAGGACCGTGGTGAGAGCCCAGGCAGGGAAGGGACCCTGCTGCTGGCAGGCACTGGCATTTGGGATGAAACTCTCCGAGGGAGGGAGGGCTGTAATGGCAGCGTAGTCTCCTTTCTGTATCTGCACCCCAGGGAACCTCTGGCAGTGGGGAGGGGCCGGAGCTCAGGGAAGGCAGGCCTGGGCACCCTCCGGTGGGCATCCCGGAGGAGGTGGGCATCCCGGAGGAGGGGCGCAGTGTGAGGAATGGTGCAAACAGCTCTGAGGATGGCAGTCTCTGAAGGCTGGTACTACTAGCAAGGCTGAGAAGATGCTAGAGAAAGTGCTCCCCTCAGCCCTGCTCTCAGGTCAGCCGACCTCAGCGTGGGCCTTGACAAGCACGCCTTCTGCTAGGAGCCTTTTAGCGCCACCCAGAAGGGAAGAAGGGAAGAACGGAGATGGGCGAGGTCCCAGTGCTCTGGGTTTACAGATACTGAGGCTGAGCTTTGAGGAGTAGGTGGGCGCTGAGGGACAAGACCCCCACCCTCCTGCCCTAAGGGGGAGGGGCTCTGGAGCCACCTACGGGAAAAACTGCAAGCCCAACACTGCTGGCTTCAAGGCTAGACTGTCCTTCTTGGTATCTGGGCGCTGTCCGGAGCCCTGTCCCTTCCAGGAGGCCATCCTCAGCCTAGCAGGGGGCATGGCAGGAGCTTGATAAGCGCTAAACCAAAACCAACCAGAACCTCCCTCCTGCCCCCAGCAGCACGGCACTTGGCCTTTCTGAGTTCCCCCCTCAAACGCTGTTATTAGAGTATGCAGTGACAATGGGAAACACTTTGAAAAGTGTAAATCAGCAAGGCATTATTATGATGATTATTTGCAGACATAGAGGCTAGGAAAGGCTGAGGGGGTACAGGCTCGGTGTTTAGTGACTGTGGAGGGGGTCAGTAAGGACACCTCCGTGTTTGCCCTGCTGAAGGTGTGGCCACCTGGGCCACAGTCATCAGGGATGGCGTGATCCACAAAAGTGCTGGCATCTGCGATTCAGTTGTAGACAGAGGCTTATAGTGTGAGTCTCCTTAACAAAGGAATTATCCCAGGACAGGTCCCCTGGGAGCTTACCCTCTTAGACGGGCAGGCCACGCAGCCTACAGCACGAACGGCACGCAACCCAGGGGCCCGACAGTGTGTTAGACCCCTTCCCAGTGCCTTTCGGGTTTGATACCCCTTTGGTTGAATCACATGGCAAGCTGTACCTCTGAGCCTCAGTTTCCTAATCTGGAAAATGTTAACAAATCTCTAACCTGCAGGTTGATCCCAAGGTAACTTATGTGATAAGCCTGACATTGTGCCCAACTCATGGTCCGAGCTCAGTAAATCTCAGCTATTACGACTGATAAAGCATACGCACCGAGACGCGCCCCCAGCATCGGGATTCTGCTCATGTTTGCGGGGGTCCCTCCATGGGTAGTAATAAAAACGGAAACTTAAAGTGCTGCGTGGTGTGGAAGAGGGAGGCTTGCGTAAAGCAATGCTAAGATTTGGGAAGAGGTGACCTGGGCAAAACTTCCTGAAGGAGGTGGGGGTTTCTACGGAGAATTTTAACATAAAAGGGTCGGCGTGAGGTGGGAGAGGCTAAATGAAGTGCAGGGTGCAGGGGACGCACAGGTTAGAGGCTGGGGGTCGTGATGGGGGCTCCTGAGATGGGGTCGGTGAGCTGTAGACGGGCTTTGAGGAGGGATAGGGTGGGGGACAGCGGGTGTCCCCAGCATGGTGCTGCTTGGGATGGCTTTGAGGCAGGAATGAGCAGGATGCGGGGGGGCGGGGCAGGCTGGTCTAAGCAGGTCTGAGAAGGGGAGGGGTAAGGGACAGGCCTGGAAGGGATGAAAAGGCTGGGGGTTACCAAGGCACCAGGTGGCAACTTGGCCAGGGCTGCGGAATGTGGCCACCCAGGAAAGGGCAGAGGAGGGGCGCTTGGCATGCCTGAGCTGGCTGTCCGGGGTGGCCCTGGCTTAGAGAAGGCAGGACACAGAGGGGGGCGCGAGAGGGAAGCGTGCAGGCGGCACCCCGCCTGCCCTTTCCTCAGGGACCCCTGTTTGAAGGGAGAGGAGAGCTCCTGGGGGGAGGAGAAGGCGGGGCAGGCGGGACAGGCGGGGGCGATGATATCTGCCTTCTGGAAGCTGAGAGAAGGGGACTCCTCCCGGCTTGAACTCCCTGAGCAGGGAGGGCTGGAGGAGCAACTCCCGTCTGTCCTGGGGTACCATCCTGTGAGATGCCGTCCCTGCTTTCCTAGGTGGAACCAGTTCTGTTAGGGGGTCTGTTGGGTGCCTCCCCCACCGTGCAGTGAGCCCCCAAGGGCAGGGGCATCAGCCTGTCCATGTCCATGTCCATGGCGCAGCGCAGTTGCTCGAAGCACTGAGCAGCTGCTGAAGTTTCACCTGGGCTGTTGAGCTGAGGGGAACTGGCCCGTGCCGCCGCTTTCAGGCTCCCTGGGAGGGGAGCCCAGGCCAGCTCACATCGTGGGCCACATCCTGGGCTGCGGTGATGGCCAGTGGGCTCTTTCTGCAGCAGCCGGGGCTGGTGGGAGCAACTGCTGAGGGTCCAGGCTTCTGGGCTTGGGATCCCTGGCCAGACTCGTGCCGCAGTGAGGACGGCTGGGCGCTGAGCCAAGGCAGGTGGGAAGAACTCTCTGGACAGCGCACTGCACTTCGTGGGAGGGAGGCTGGGATTAGGTGGCTCCTGCCCTGGGAGGGGCCTGCTTCTTCACACCCTTCGCACACCAGGGGCCTTCAGCAGGTGTGCTGAACGCCAGCGTCCCCACGTAAGTGGACATAGGAGACCGAGCTTCCTCTGCCCGCTCCACTCACCAGCCCAGGCCCAGGCACCCAGAGACTTGTTCAGGCCTAGAGGCCGGGAGCTCGGGGCTCACTTCTTGTTTGTGCCCATGGGATCTGAAGCAGGGCAGGGCGCTCAGCAGGTGGGGCTGGGGGTGTCCATGTCACGTCCCATTCCCTGGGACATGGGTGAAGCTGCACGGGCCTCTCCTTGTCACGTGTCCTGTCCACTGCATGTGGCTGTTAGAAGATCAGATGAGGTGGCCGATCTGGAATTGTGACCCTTGGGGGTCCCACAAGCCTCACGACTATAGGTATTGTCTAAGGAAAGTCTTCCAGAGAATCCACACAAAAGATCTTTATTATTGGCGTAGCGTTTCCTACGAGATTCCTTCAAGCAGGCTGTGCTAAGTAGAACTCCGTTGGCAAAGATAATTTCCATACCATCGCTAAATGAACTGGAAAATCATAGAACACAGACTTCTAGGGTTGGGAAGCCTTCTGGAGAACACCTGCCCTTGCCTCATTTTTCAGATGAGGGGATGCAGACAGGCTGTGAGGTCACTTGCGCAAGCTCCCAGTGACTCCCAGTGACGGCTCCCCAGAGCGGCGCGGTTGCACATGCAGCCATAGACACTAGCAACTAGGCCTTTCTCCTGGGCATTGGGGAGACCCTGTCAAATGCTTTTCAGGAAGGGCTGCATGACAGTGACGACTCTATACTGTGCCCAGACTCTCTCCCTTCCCATTCGCCATCAGAGGAAGCTGAGGCTGGGAGCTGCTTTGTGACTCAAGAGTTAGCCTCTCCGAGGGCCCCCTGAGTACCACGTCCCAGTGCTGGCCTTCATCCATTGTGACCACATGTCTGTCATTGCCTGGAGGCCCCTACGGTGTCCACAACTTCCAACCAGAACGTGGAATAAACAGGTGGTTAGAAATGCTGGTTAGACCGCCAGTACACGAACACCGAACGCCACAATCAACTGGATTCAGGAGCAGCCCCTCCCACGTGCCCCCACTGCAAGCTCACGTATTGGCTCTGAGCCCCAGCTCCTCCCTGGGCCACTATAGCAGTGACGAGCACAGACCCCCAGCCTAGCTTGCTCTCCTGGCCCCTTCTGGGTCCCACCCCTTTTCCCGACAGGCACCTCCACCACCACCCTTTCTTCCTTTGTAGCCTTATTCCCCTCTGGTCAGCCACCTCACACTTCCCCAGGGCCAGGGCGCAGGGTGGCACCCCGTCCGCCAATTGTCACGGCCGGAAGGCTGTGTGCC